ACATTATCGGAGTGACATGGTGACAACTCCATGATTGTGCATTTCATTAAGCTAGTTATAAACAAAAGGGTTTCTCCTCTAATGTTCACAGTCTTTGCTACCACACTGGAGAAGACTGAACTAATGAAGATCTCCTCCTGTGAGCTCCATGAGGCATCTGCACTATTCCTTCTGTACTCATTACACTGAGCAGAACATAGACCAGAAAAAGCATTCTTTGCTGGCTATAAATCATGAGTGACACCAAGGTATTGCTATTAGCAGCAGAAAAAATGCTTTGCTCTCACAACCATATACATACAACACTTCAGCAAATGGTGCTGAAATGGTACAGAAAATTAAATAGAGGTTGTGTTGTCTGAAGATAAATTGGTACCTCCCTTGGCGTGCCTGAGTGACTTTGTCTTTTTCTGATTTGTCTTTTAACTTACAAAACACTGAGACTAGAGATAACAATGAGCTTTAAAAACCTAGCCTTCTTCCCCTCCCAGGCCCTCCTGAGCAAATCTCTTCTCTGAAATGAGCTAAAAGAGAAGATAAATGTTCTGGCAGTAATATGCAATATTATTTTTGGCACTTGAAGAATCTTAAGATAGATAAGGGAAAACTGAAAGGAAGACAAAGCTCTGTTTTTTCAAATGCAAGGGACCAAATTCTGCTTACCCATATGAACCCAGAATCCTTTATTTTCTCTGGATTATGGCAGTAATTCCTGATTTTCACCAGGTTAGCTAATCCTGAGGTTTTATTTAAAACCCATTGCATTCAGAGACCCTGGTGAAATCATATGATAACAGAACCAAAAGACAAAGGCATGCAAAGAAAGTGTCAACTCCACAGCTCTTGCCCAGACAAAGGCTAATTTAGTTTCAGACCATGTTAGCTGTAGCAATGATAAGATTAACACCTGATATCAGGGGAAACTCTGAGCTGTCTGTGACCTCCTTCAGCAGAATCTCCCTCCAGCCCCTCTCCTATTAGCATATGTTAGAGAAACTGCTTCTTTCCTGGTCTAGTATGTATTTCCCTACAGAGCCTTTGTGAAAAGCTCAGAGCAATGTTTCTGCTGATATATTTGTGGGCATATTGAATAAAACATGTGCCATTTGACATTGCTCGCTTGGGCTGCCATGGGTAATGGGAGAGGGCACATGTTACTGCAGGGCAGAAAGCTGCAAGGGGATGCAGGATGAAGCACAAGCCTATGCAGGAGTGTGTCACGTCTTTGATTCTAATAGAGCCCTGACCAAAGGACCCAGCTCACCCTGCACTGATCTAAATGCTGGCTGTATATATTGCCTTAGGACAAGGAAAAGTAAAAAGCTCAAACCTTTGCTCTCTTTACGCACATTAGCTTGTTACAGGTGCATATGCTTTGGAAATCAAATGGGAAGGGATTTTCAGAACAAACTAAGTGTTTTAGTGGCAAAATTTCTAGCACTCAGAGAGCCTCCTGTGTCCAAAGCACAGCCTTTGCTCTGCAAATTTCAGTGTGCTTTGTCAAGCCTGGAAGTTTGATAAGAGACTCTGGGACTCTTGAGAGCTCTTGGAGCAGCCCGCAATAGGGAACAACAGTTATTGATGCTGCTGGTTTTAAATGATGATGTTGCCACGTCTCAGCTGTTCTTGAATTTGTCTGTCACATGAGTAATGGTTGGATGGGATAGTTAGAGGCATCCCCGCCTGTGGTGTCTATTCAAAGCTAATCATCTGCTAGGGGTTGCCTGGCAATTAAGAACTGTTCAGTGGTAGTTTTTATAATACAAGATCTGTGTGATATGAGCAGAAAGAGTGTCCTAGCATGAGAAATAGTGTGTTTCTCAGAGAATTCAGAACCTCCCTCCTAAAAGCTGTGAAATATCCTTGGGTCAATTCAGTGAAGCAGCATCTTGAGAAGGCTATCAGCAAGAATCAGGAAGAGCCCTAGAGAAAATTTGGTTGGTCACCAGGAACAACACTGTGTTCCAGACAAGCTTTGATGAAACACTTGTTCATTTTACTTTTGTCACTGTGTTTCTAACTCTGTAATGAAATAGCTTACCCCTTACAAAGGCTCAGTTATGCCATTGACAGGAGTCATTCCATCCCACTTCAGTAAGACCAGGGCCAGCTCTGTGGAGAGGAGCCTGGCTTGGTGAACATTCACTGGTGCACCTTTGGAAAGGAGCAGGGAATGGGGTGATGCCTTTGACTCCAAGAACATCTGTAAATACTAGAGGATCTGCCCTTGACACTAACAGAGCAAGGTCATACCCTGTCCTGAGCTCTAAATAGTTCAAAAACTTTAAATGCTTCTGGTCTTTGGTTTCATAGAACTGATCATAGCAGTAAGGCCATCTTTAGCAGAGGGTTAGTATTTGGGGAAAGCTTCATCTCCAACAGATTTCTGTTTCATGGAAACAAACTAATTCCTGTTTTCTGTGCAGTCATGAGAGTCTGTAACATCCTATTTATTTGCCCAAATCAACCTTTGGTAAGAAGCTTTCCTTCCTTGCTCTCCATCTTCTCTTGTTCTGTTTGGCAGTGGACACTAGTGCCACTTTCCCTCAGGCATCATGGTTTTCCACAGGGACGTATACACTACAGAGAGCTGATTTCCCTACCAGCAGTGGGTGTGGAAGGTTGTAACTTTTTCCAATGGCAAGGAAAAAGCAGCAAGGTCGCAGGCAGAAATCTATCGGTAAAGCTGCACAAGTGTATTAAATAAAGCAAACAGAACTTTGCTGTTACACTTCAAGTAAATAGTTTCTCCTTCTCAGTTTGCTCCAGCATAAAAATCCCTCTGCCCTATAAATACCACTGCCAGTATTTATTTGTGAAGAGTTGGGATCTATTTATTTATTTATCCATATTTAGTTTAAAAGTCTGGGCTCAAAATTAAACAGTCATTCATAATGTCATTATCTGCCTTGCTCCACAGTCAGATACTGCGTGTGGTGTCACAGGACAAAACCTTTGGCAAGGGCCCCAGAAGAGCAATTTAGCTCCTCATCCATCTCAGCTGGCAGCATGATTGGCTTCCAAGCTTGCATTGCTGAATGTGTTATTTTACTCTGACATATATTATTGAGTGTTAAATCACTTTCTGAAGTGTTTATTGGTAATAGTTGAGTCCCTTCCACTCATCTAAGTTGCTTTTGAAACATAAACATTTCCTTGTATCTTGGAGTTTGATGGGAACACAGAGAGAGCTCCTCAGGAAGATGGGCTGTAGAAATGACCAGCTCAATAGATAGGGACAGAATTTACCAGTGCTGTGGAGGAGAATAGACTCCTTCTTCCATCAGGATGAAATAGCGAACTCCCACCACCACAGCACAGGACTTCACATGGGGAAGGTTTGGTTACTTGTGTCTTGGTTCTCCCATCATGTCTTGGCCTGTCAGGAAGCAGATGACCCTTTTACTGGAACATCATGACTTCTTGACACAACCTTCATAGATCCTGAAGCTCCCTAAAAAGGAAAACAGGTTGTGATCTGCAGGATCAGGTGCTGGGGCGGTTATTAGGCATCAGAATGCTCATGCCTCCAAGCGTGGAGTGTGGTCTGCAGCCTCTGCCTAGCAGTGATGTCTCTCAGGAAGGAACCAGAGACTGCTTTCTTGTACCTATTTAGGAGAATGGAGCAGAGGATCAGAGGGCAGAAATAAACAAAATTAAATCTAGTGTGGCAATCGGAAGCTGAGCTGGAGAGTAAGGGCCAGAGGCAGGTCAAGCTGGGGAGGAGGCAGGAGAACTGGATTTTCAAATAAGCCCTTTGATAATTCATCTCTTGAGGACTCCAGATGTGACAGCCCAGAAGTCTGATCCAGGCTGGCTTACTCAGCACTATAAGTCCTCTTACCTCTTGTCCTTTCTCCTGTGAAGACCTACAAATCAAAGTTTTTATTTTCATTTTATCTTTAATGAGGAGGTCTGTTGAGTCTCTTTCCTGCATCTGGGAGTTACTTCCAATCTGATGAACACTGACTTTTAGAGATGACACCAATGACGAGCTGCTGAGATCACAGTAGCAATCAAGGCTCCTTTGATGGCAGAGCTAAAAATACGTTTCCCAGCTGACACAGACTTAGGGAGAAGAACATATAGTTTAGTTTGAAAGAATACATCTTCCTTTGTCTCCACGTCTTCTTCTGCCAGAGGACACCACATCTGTGACAACCATGCAAGCAGGTTATGTCTATCTTCTGAACTGAAGTACTCATGTACAGACTCATACTACCTCCCAGAAAGAGTAAAGCTTTAAAACCCTCTGAGCAACTTGGAGAATGGTGCTGTTGGCAGTTTTGCCTCTCTGGTCATGCTGGCACCTGTCAAGTTATCACATGGCAGGAGCCACATCTTGGGGTCTGGAGGAAACCACTTTTGCCAGTCCCCTAGGTTCTGTTTCAGTCCTCTTGATCAGCTGCCCCAGCTCTTTCCTTTCTTATCTGCTTCTCTGCTTGCTCTCCTGCTTGCTAAATCCAGGGCACTGGCTCACAAGCTCCCTGGCTAATGAGGTGTCCCCAAAGCTTTGCTTTGGTACTTGTAAAGGAAACTGTGGTAAATTGTGTCACTGCCACCTCCTGGGATTTCTGAGGATGAGAGCTCATCCCAGGGGTTGCAAATGCAGATTCATATAAACACTGTGCAAGAAATCATGGATTGCCCAGCCTCAACCTGCACCAGCCCGGTCCCTTCCCAGGCCTGTGGAGTGATGGCACTAACCAGCTCATGTTTGCAGGGGAGTTGTCGGCCTTCCTCCCCTCGGAGGCATTAGGTAAAGATGGATCTTTAAGGCTTTTGGGCAGGAGATGTACAGATGAACAAACATACACCATAAAAGTTCTCCATTTGTAATGTGTAATATGTCAGGAGGCAAAATGTTGAGCAACCCAATTTGGCAAATCAAAATAGCAAAAAGGGCATATTTTGATGGAGAAATAAAAGCCGCCTCTGTGTATGATTTTTCATGCTTCTGTACGCATAACTTGAACACAGAGAAAGGAAAAATTCATTTGTTTGGTCAGACAGAAATACACCAGATTTATTGTTTTGAGAGATACAGGGGGGTATTTCTGCATGGCTGTGGTAGCTACAATGTTTTGTCGACACAATGTTCTGCCAAAAAAAAAGCATTCACCCAGGAATGTCTCTGGGCTGTCAGAGTCAGTCCCAGAGGTGGATGTCCCATCCCTAGACCTCTGTGGGCAGTGGTCCATTGCCAGGATTCTGTTTGATGCTCCCATTTAGGGTGTTGGCCCTCAAGACGTAGGACCTCCCTCTAACTGAGCCTTCAGTGTGGATGCTTTCTGGCTTGTTTTGGCAACGAAAGAACATAAGGAAGCCATTCCGGTAGTTCTTGTTCATCCATCCATACAGCAGAGGGTTGACAAATGTAGAGCACATGGCCCCAACATGGAAGACAGTGTACAGGAGTTTATATTCATGGAAGATAAGAACCAGATCAAGATCAATAGCAAGCTGGAACATGTGGAAGGGGAGCCAACAGACTGCAAATACCACAACTACCATCACTAGCATTTTGGTTGTCTTCCTCCTCCGGCACTGGTTTTCATTCCTAGAAGTAGGACTGACGTGGTTTTTCAGCTTGAACCAGATCCTGGTATAGGCATAACAAATAATTGCAAGAGGGAAAACATACTGCAGGAGGAGCATGGACAGGCTGTAGATAGTGGCATCTCTGTTATTACCAGATGGCCATTTTTCTGAGCAGACAGCCATTTTGAGGTTGATGGATGGGATTTCCTCATACCGGTATTCTCTGAAGATGGCCAGAGGACCTGCAAGGACAGCTGCTGCTAGCCACATGACAGCTATAATGGTGAAGCTGAGCCTCTTGGAAATCCTGCTGTCCAGGTGGAAAACAATACACCGGTACCTATCCAGGGCAATCACAGTTAGGGTGAGAGTGGACACATGGACACTCAGAGCTTGAGCATAAGGGACCAGATGACAAAGAACAGCTCCAAACTTCCACTCATCCAGCAGCGTGTACACTAGTGTGAAAGGTAGACAAAGCGTGTCCACCATCAGATCTGCCAGGGCCAAGTTAGCTATGAAGAAGTTGGTGACAGTCCTCATGGTCTTGTACTTCACAATGATGTAGACGACCAAGGAGTTTCCAATGAATCCCAACAGAATGATGAGGGAGTAGGCAGCAATCAGAACAACCTGGACCCCCAGGATCTTAGTGCTGTCCATCATAACACTGCGGGACCCAGAGAGATCCTGGCTAGGAGTGACAAAGTCCTCGGCGTGCCAGCCCTGTGGCAGCTTCTCGTCTAATGCTGTCTTCTCCAAGGTGAGGGTGCTGTTAACTCCCTTCAATGGTCCCATGCCTGGCCTGAGACTTTCCATCAGGAAAAGTAGGTCTGGAACACAAACACAGCAAAAGTGAGAGCACAGGAGACAGCAGAACATCTGCAGGAACTGAGACTCAAAGGACATGTCCCACGTGGCATTTCAGGCTAAACAGCAGCAGCAGTGACATCCTCCTTCCCTCTCCTTACCCCCCATCCTTCCTCACACTGAATGGCCTTTCAGCTCTCTTACACCTCCTGTTAGAGCCTATGAGTTGAATGCCAATTCCCCAAGGAAAGGTCAGGGGAAAAATGCAACTTTTCATGCAAGTTTCCGCAATTCTGTTTATTTGAATCAAAGAGGGAAAAACCCCTGAACTAGTCAGGGCCAGACTGGTAGGTCCTGAACAGACCTCCTGCTCTTGGAGCCCCTTTGCACCCTATCTTCTGCTCCTTCAGACTAGGCTTTGCAAAACTGGCAAGTTGCTTCAACCAAGCCAAAAATTTGGGACGTCTTGGGGCTGACCAAAGAAATTGATAATGGTGTCAGTCATCTTTGATGAGATTTACTTGCATACAAAAATACCCTGAGTCCTAAATCCTTAAGAACTAGGAAAGGAGAAAAACAAGACGACACTCTCAAAGTCAAGGTGCTTTTTTCCACCTCCCCATAACAAGTATTTCCAGACTGTGCACCAGGTTTTTTTCAGTTTCTTATTTCTCACCCCTCCAGGTAAAAATATCTGTCACCCTGTCTCTGCATGAGTCTCTGCAATGCTACCACCCAAGACCAGCACCCCCTGCTCCCAACCCCTGGTAATGTGGTTAGCATTACTAATGCCATTTTATGAGGCAAGCAGCCACTTTCTGTTACCGAGCAGGTCACGTATTCATTCCCTTTCTCTCATTATCAGGCCCTGAAGGTCCTGTGAATCAAGCAGACAAACCAAACAGTTTTCTTCTTCCCCTCCCCACCAGCCTCAAGGTTCCTGGTTGCCGGGCCGATTACTCCCTTCCTTGATGGCCTTGAGGGCCCCAGGCACCCGGCCAGCCGGGGTGTTGATGGTCCCATCACAGAACAGGGAAGCGTAGCAGCACACAGAGCACTGCCCATAAAATCAAGCAGTTACAAGTCCTTAGTGGGGTACCTCTAAACAGTGAGATGTGACCCCCCGCCGTGGCCAGGGACACCCCCACCATCCTCTGCATCCTCTGAGGAGTGAGTGGCTCGTATTTTTTTATAGGATTTTCAAGTCTAGATTATGATTGTTACACTGATACAGCAAACCATGTATTAGGATTTGACCCGATCTGCAGAGGGTCCAGGTGATTATAAATTATAAGTTCAGTTGAATTATAAATTTTGCATTACTTAAGTGATTAGAAATCATAAGTTAAGTTGTATTATAAATTCTGTACACAATCTACTTGTAGATTGTACTACATTGGTTCTGCTTGTAGAAATCCTGTGCCATTCCAATCATAAATTCTGTGTTATACTAATCGTAATACCCTGTTAAGGAAATAAAGCTTTAATTGTAACCATGATTTAATGCTGTCACCATTCTGCCAAGGATCCCTAGAAGAACCTCTCTGTCCCCTCAGTGTCAGTGACACCCAGGCATCCGCCGGCTTTGCAGAGGAGGGAGCTCCTGCAGGGACGTGCATGTGCAGGGGGCAAACCGCCGGAGCTGTGAACAAGCCTCCCGCAGAGCTGCTGCTGAGCATCCTGGCACAAACAGGCCTGAGAGCCAAAGCCCCGGCGTCAGCGAGCCTCCTGCCACGTGGTGCTCAAATATCTGTGTGAATGTGGCTTTGGGAGCAGGGAGCCCAACTGGTGAGCCAGAACTGACTCAGTCTGGAACTTGTGGCTGGCGTTTGGTGACATTGGATCAGCAGAGTGTTGTCACAGCAGGGTTTTTATTCAGTCCAAACACAGCAGGAGAAAAGCCAGCTCTGTTACTGGCTCCTTCTCAGCCTCCGTGTCTCAGAATTGCTGCTGCAGTATGTGGAGAGGGGTGGCCGTGGCCCCTCACATATCCCCTCTTCCCAGCGCTGTGTGTGGAGCTCCCATTCCCACCACACACTTGATCAAAAGTGAGCAAAAGTCATCACTCTGTCCAAACAGGGTGATCTGCAGAGTGTCATATTTTCTCTGACCTGCAGAGATGGAGGATAATGCCCTGCCACTGAGAGAGGGAGGCAGAGGCCTTCAGCAAAGCTGGGAACTAGAGGCAGACTGCTGGGTACCTTCCTTCTCAACCTCCTTCAGGAACAAATTGGTCTGGGTTTGTACCAGGCAAGATGGGAGCACTGCTGGCTGGGTGCTGGTGGGCTTCCTGCAGTTCTGTGCCCTGCAAGCCAAGTGTTTAAGGACAGCCTGTCCTGTATTTCAGCTAGTTCCTTAAACAAATAGCATCAAATAATGGTGGCAAGATGGTAAAGGTGGCAGCAATTACATTGCAATGAATAATAAATGGCTGCTGCTTCTTTCATCGCTCTTCAGAGCAAGGGTTCTGATTCCCCCTTGGGACGTGCCCAGCCACCTGCAAACCTGGGCCGCTGCAGAAGCCCAGCAAAAGAGCTGCCTGCAATAGAGCACCCCTGCTTGCACACTTGCTTTCTCCTGCCCTTTCCATGCCCATTGGCTTGCCTAACTTGTCTAGCTCTGCTGGCTGATTTATGCCAATGATTCCGGTAAATGAAGTTGTTGGACTCAGCCATCATAATAATGGAGACCATATAGCTACCGCTAAGAGGGTAGGAAGGTAGCTTTAAGGAGCAGGAGGGAAAAATGGGTGGAATTGCTGGTGTGAGGGTTTGCTTAAGGGTGATCTCAAACTTCCACAACACCGCTGCCCCCAGCCCTGGAAAGGCAACCCCAAAGTCCAAAGGGAGGCCCCAACTTCTAAGGCAGGAGAGAGGAACTCAAAGCCACCCCACACAGCTGTGGGAAACGGAGCAGGGGGACCGGCCGGGCCCTGGGAAGGTGGCACAGCCACAGTGTCTTCAACAGGGCCCGACACACACCCGTGCTGCAGCTGGCCCCAAAGCAAACCTTGCTGCCGCAAAAGCAAAGTCAGTGATGGAAACAGAGCAAAGGCTGGACACGCTTCCAGTGGCTGTGATCTCCCTGCTTGCTCTCTGTCTGGGTTTTTGTACCTTCCAGGTTGTCTACCATTACTTTATCACTTGTTATCCCCTTTTCTGTGGCTTCCCGATCCCATTTATCTTCGGTACCCAAGTCCTGGCACAACACCAGTAGACACTCCCTTCCCTTTTTCCCCATCTCACCCACCAACTGGCTGCCAGTTCCCGTGTTCGCATCTCAGGCTATTTCCTTTCGCTGTAGACTGGCAGCTACCCACCATCTGAGAAGAGCCAGGAACATCATGATTATTGGAGCTGTTTCACTTCCTAACAAAATGGCCTTAATGGAGTTATTATTTGATTTGGTTTGCTTTGTTTTTTTTGTTTTTTTTTTTTTTTTTCCAAAGGGGAAACTATTAAAAATCAATTAAGGCATTTTAATTAAGGGACGAAATGGTCATAATAAGCGTTCCCACTCCAGGGGCTGCCTGGAGGTCGCAGGGATGCTGCTAGGAGTGGATCGAGGTCTGTTCCAGCAAGTAATGGAAGTACTGGCATATGTGTAGGCTACTGCCAGGCGCACACTCTCGTGCCTAGTGGGCCTTCCAGGCTAGATGGAAAAATCTTTGGAGCTGAGAGCCAACTGCTCTTGGGGGAACAAAACAGCAGGGCAGACGAGGAGGAGGCAGAAACACTACCCTAAGCCCTTTCCTCCGTGCTGGGCTGCCACAAAGGGATGCAGAAACAGCATTGCCGGGATCCTGCCCTCACCCTCTCCTCCAGCTGCAGTTCAGGCTGAGGCAGGACTGGGACCCCAGGGTGGCTCCCAGTGAGGCAGAGAGCTGTTCCCACTGTAAACTTCAGCCTTTGGGAAGGGGGGAGGAGGAGGGGGAAGCACAGAGGAGCTGTGAAACCTCAGCCCTTTGCTGAGCACACTGCTGTCGATGACCGAGAGGGACAGTGACCACCGTGACAGCTCCAAAATCCATTCCTACAGGGCCTAGATTAGGTGCTGGCATGCACCTCTGCTTCCTGGGAACTCCCTGGCTCCCTCCGTGTCCCTGCTGCAGCCCCAGGCATGCAGCCAGCCTGGCCCAGTTCTGTCAAGGCACATCCAGACCTGGAAAAGCCATCTGCAAAGCCTAGCAGAGTTCAGAAAGCAGGTCTGGAGGGGTGGGCAGTGGGCTGGAGAAAACAGAGCTTGTTAATTAACATTCCTTTTTGTCCCAAGCAGTGAGACTGGAGTTGCTGCAGCCAGCAGGCACGCAGGGTGAGGACAAGGGGTGCGGGAAAGAGGGAGGTAAGGTCAAAGACTGCTCAGAGCATGGATAGGAATTGCAATCCTACCACAGTTATCATTGATTTGAAAGGAGGGAGTGGAGGGACTTGGGCCAGCCTCTGCTCTCTGGCTAAGGACAGCCACAATCTTTCTACAGCAGTGCTGCGGTGTGCGGGCTGAGGCTGATGGATACCTTTGCAGCTTGACTCACTGATTTATTCCATGCTGTGTCCTTCCTCCAAAGCAGCTCAACTCCATGAAACCCCTTCATCTCCAGCAGCCTGGTCTGGAGCACTGACTCATCTCATCCCCAGTCCCATATCTGGCAGCAGTCAGGTGTCTATGTCAAAGAGGTCTGAGACGATCCCTCATCACCAGAACCCTGTTGTCACCCTGGGGCAAGCCACCTTCTACCACTTTCATGTTCTCCTACAGCACTCAAGAGACAGCAGTGTTCAGCCCTGCACCCCACAGCACAGCACTTAAGGGAGGAAAACACAATAAACTGAGATATGGAGGTTACCAGCTTGCCAGAGGCCACACGGCACATCCACAGCAAGCCTGGGAACAGAGCCCAACTTTTCTAACTCCAGCCTCCTGCATTCTCCACCAAAGAGGACTCTGCATCTCTCAGGACAAAACCTGAACATAGATTTCAGGAGCTGCATGAAAATGCAAAATGTGAGTGATAGAGGGGGTTTTGCATTCTGGGCTGGTTTCAAGACAAACAGCAGCTCTGGGATGATTTTCTGAAGCCAAAGAGCAGACAGAAATTGTCCCAAGTCCTTCCATCTCCAGTGAAGGGGTGATTGCCCTCCTGTGACACTACGTCAGAAAGGAAGACCCTCTGACCTGCCCATCATCTGCTGCAGTTTTGTAAATTATCTACCCAGATCAGACCCATCACTGCAGAAACCTAATGGCATCAGACACACATTGCCACCCCTGCACTTGCAAATCTCCAGGGCCTCAGAGCTGCTCCTGGGAGACCCCATCATAGAACTGGCACCAGGAGACAAAGTGCAAGGAGGAGGGATACACAAGGGATTTCTTGTGGTTCCTCACTCTAAATATTTGCACATCCCTGCCTAGGCTGGAGCCACGAAAGACTCTGAAGGGGATGTGGCAAGGAGGATGCCTTAGTCACTCAGCTCAGGACAGGATGAAAAAGAAGATGATGAGAAGAGATCCGTTTGACAGGGACACATGCTTTCTCCTGGAAATTTCTGCTACAGAAAGCAGGGAGGAACAGTGCAAGGCCCTCTGCCCTGTGGGACATGCAATGGGAGCAGAGCATGGCTGGCTGGGAGACAGGGCTCAGTGGATGACGCTGTGGTGGAGACACACCAGTTGTCAGGGCTGCAAAAGAGAAGCTGCACCACAGCTTGGTGGAAGGATCCTGGTTAACCTGGGGAGTCTGTTACCTGCTGAGATTTAAGGAGTCTGGGGTAGATGAGACAAGGGAGGAGAGAGAAATAACAACCCCCTAACAGAACAACCAGGGAGAAAACCCAGTATCCTGCTTTGGGACAGACCAGAAATTCTGTAGGTGAAATGCAGGCTACAACTGGACTGTAAGAGGCTCTCTCTGTGTTCAACAATTAGCATGCAAAGAGTGCAGAAAGAAAGCAAGCATGAGTTTTCTTCCTGCAGTCCCCTATCTCCCTTTGCATCTCTCTCTTTGAGGGCACTGATCTCTGGCAGCGAGACGAGGGCCAGCAACGCGTGCAGCCCCAGCACAGAGGAGCTGACGGGAGGCTGGTACCAAGCCACGAGGAGGCAGATTGGAGGAGAGATCAGGATTTCTCAGACAGCCGCGCACCTCAGCCCCACACCTGCAGCACGCTGCTTTGTAACTGTACGTGCCCGGTTTCTGCAGCCCCCTGGAACAACCTGCTCTCCTGACTGCTCCCACTCAGCATCCTGCTTCCCAGGTTCCCTACTTCTGCCCAGGGATCTTTCAGAACTCTCCTGACGGTATTTCTTGTTCACTTTCTCTCTATTCCAGCTCTCAGGGCTGTTGGTTCCCAAACCCAGTTTCCCAAAGATGCTTGGATCTTTTTTGCTTGAACCATGTGGCATGGCCAAGACCCTGTCCCATCTCAGCCCTGCTGCTCAGACGAGCCCTCCCCGACCCACCTGCAAAGGCCAGAGCGTCCTCCTCCTTCAGAAACCGAGCCGCTCACCTCGAGTTATCGTCTCATTGCCAGCCAGGATGGAGCGCTTGGTCCTCTCCACTCTCTGGGAGTCAACCTGTGGCAGAGGGGTGAAAAGCACTTTTCTGCAACTGTCCTCGGAAAAGCGAGGAAGTCAGGTGAGGATCTGGGCTGCCGGAGAGTGGTTCATCGCCAGGGGTAGCTTTGGTATCCCACCCTGAGCATCTGGAGAGCACCCTCTTGCAGGGTGACTGACAGCCCCCGTCTCACAAAGCTGGATGCTGTGTTAGCTCCTGAATGAGAGGAAGGCAGGGAGCTTGTGTTTAACAAACAGAAATGGAAAAGGGGAGGGAGCCTGCTGCTGCTGTTTATACAGTGTTCAGCCACTGAGGGGCTTCTTGCATAGAGGATAGAGAAGCTTTTCCACCACATCCAGTTTCCTCTCCAGGGAAAAGTGGTGGGGGCTGGAGGTCTGCAGGCTCCTCATCAGTGCCACTGACCTGGGCAAGTGTCCACCTGCCCTCACTCCATAGCTGTCCCACCTGCTCAGGCTTTAAACTCGTTGGGACTGGCACGGTCTTGTCCAGGGGTGGATCTCTCCTGCAGCAGGAGGTCTGCAGGTCCTGCGACTCAGCAGAGCCTTCACGGGACCTCCCCCCATCTTCCTCTGCCTCTGTGTCTGTGCAGTACCCTGCCCAGAGCAGTCTGATGCTGTGGGACAGGCCTTTGGGTACTCTTGGGATGCAAATAAAAGTAATGGTGAAAAGTTTTAGCCACTTGGCAATAGCTCAGTCTGTTCCAGAGCCAGATTCAGTGTGGAGCTAGGAACCTGAGTGAGTTTCTATTTTAGAGTGCTCAGCACTGCCCACACACTTGGAGCAAGAGAGAGGGAGAGGCACAAAAGCAACATCCTCATGTCCAACTCTGCAAAATCCAAGCTTGCCAGAGCCCAGGAGAGCACCCTGAGGGCAGCACAGGGAAGCAGGAGAAGCACAGGTCCCTACCTGGCCAAAGTCAGGTGTGTTGCTAGCATAGGATTTCCACCACAAGCGACATGTGAGTTTGCAGCTCACCTGGGCTAGGAAATGCTCCCAGAGGTTAGGGAGGAGGACACCTCTCCTTAGTTTCAAGTATCTACAGCTAAGAGTTTATCAGAGGAGTCTTGCTCTTCACCCCCACAGCTGACTTTGATTTCCTTTTCTCTGTGAGAACAGAAATGAAGAGGGTTTTCAACCAACTTGCTGTGCCGCAAAAGTCACAATGCATCAGGAAAAAGAAAATGCTCCAGTGGCTCAGCAAAAAAAGGAGAGTGAGAACATTCCTGAAGTAAATAACATGGAAAGTGGCACTTGAACCCAAGACTCGGACAAGGGTCCTCATGAGTCCCCTCCTTCCTGCTCCTCTCCCCACCTCCTGAAGGGAAGGGGCTCAACACACCAGCACTGTCAGTCAGGCAAATCCACCAGCTGCACTAGCTGGATTTTTGTGGGAGTTCTGTATCTTCTCCCCCTTCATTTTCCTAGGGGCTGTCAATTTAGCTGTTCTGGAAAGCTGAGGGTGGAGGGGAGCAGGACAAGACAAACCCACTTGGAAGGGGCTGTTGCTGTCTCGCAGCAGTCTGCAGGGAGAGGTGAAGAGCAGCTAATGGGAAGTGAGTGGTACACTATTCCCCATGTTCCTGGTGAATGGACACTCCTCCTCTCTAGGGTCCTCAGCAGTGGATGTTTGAATTCTGCTCAAGAGAGATATTTTTTTCCTCATTTCTCTTCTGGTGTAAGATTCTTCTTGCCCATTCCCCAGAGTCCTTTGCTACAGCTCCCCACTCTTCTCTTCCCTGGGCTGGAATAAGATGCCTGGGGAAAAGGCAGCGATTGACAGGAGAGAAACTCGCTGTAGCCTGAAGCTATGAACCTTCATCAGGACCATGGGGTGAATTCCAGTCATTTTTGGCATGTGGTGTTTGCTGGATGACAGCAAATCCAAACTCTTAAATCATGAATTAATCAGTGCAAGTCCTCAAGACTGTCCTCTCCCACGGTCTCAGGGCTCCAGCGGAGAGGTTAGCACCAAAACCTGCGACGCTCCCAAACATCAACTCACCTCTTCGACCAGATAACTTAGCTGAAGAGCCCCTGTGTGCTCGGCAGAACAGACAGAGCCTGGGAAGGGGGAGCTGCCCGTGATCCAAGGTGATGCATGTGGTCACAAATCATCCCCCCATAAGCGATCCTCCTGCGACGCGGAGCAGCGCAGTAAGGGAAGGTCGAGCTCTCAGCGCGCCAGGGACGTCACTCCAACTGGCAGCCACCGAGCCAGGGTTTGGTCCCTGCTCCCTCGGCACTCCCCAGCCCTCTCCCCAGGAGCCAGGCTCTTCTCACGGCACCGCAGACGTGGGCTGCCTGCCAGCCTGCCTAATCTCACCCAGCTACAACATAATTACTGCCGGCAGCCAGTGCATGCAGCAGAGCCCCGACACGGCCCGGCCCTCGGCTTCTCGGGAGCTAAGGGACACCCGGGGTCTGCTGTGCCAGAGCCCCTTGTCTTCTTGGTGGGTCAAGAGGATCAGTCACAGCACAGGCTGTGGCAGCCTGAACACCGAGGTGCACAAAGACTTCTGCTGGCAGCTTGCAGATCCCAAAACAGCTGAGGGTCTTCCCAGCCTCAACCAGCAACTGCACCCTGGAGTAAAAGGATGGGGAAATACAAAGATTGTCCTGGGGTTTGGGAGGCTGCGCAGCACCGAGCAGAGGTACCAGGACCCACTGCATGCACCGCTGTCACCTCAAACCCCAGGGTATTTTCACATGCGGGCTGGGTACACACAAAGGCCTGCACGGGTGCACCGGCATCCTCGTGTCCTTTCAAACACGATGGGATCGTTCAAAGGATCTTTGCAGCCCAAAGGCCTTTTCCCAGTGTTTGGGCTTTGATTAGGCAAAACTGAGTCTGATCACCTGCTCTTCTGAGTATACAACAATGAATTTTATGCTCCAGGGAGCAAAAATTATGTCAAAAAGCTGAGAAATGGGGCAGAGGAGAGGGCTGTCTTTTCATCAGCTCATAATCTGATCTGCCTCAGAGAGCAGGCAGGTCCTCAGTCTGAACACCTTGCAGCTGTAAGCCATACTCTGTAGCTCAACTTCTCTCATAAAAGAAAGGCATATTATCTGATCGCTCCCTGGGAGAAATCTCTACGAAATCTGTTACCAAGGCTTCCAGATGCTCCAGTTCATCCTGCTTCATCTGGAGCAGCAACACTGACATACTTAAAAAAGCAGCTTTTCATTTTTCAACATCTGTTTAATTTCACCTGCATGTAACTAAAATATTTCCACTGCTCCTTCCTGCAGTGTCAAGCCTGTGTTTTGCTGAGAAGCCTCAGAAGCATCAGCTTGTTGTGGTAACACAAAAGCCCCTTTTCCATGTGAGCCCAGGAGTTCACGGATGCAGTGGATTTGGGAGTCTGTGATGCATTTTGGAGCTAAATTAGCCACAAAGCTGCTCAGGGGTGGGAGGGAGGATAGAAAGCTGGCTGCACCCTCTCTGAATTTAAAAGCAGGTTCTCATTTTGTAACTGCCTTTTGTGCCTATATGAACATTTCTGGAATCAGTGGAGGAGCAGAGATAGCATCAGGAACAAAGTTTTGCTAAAATACCTGAGTGATCTGATACCACAATGAGAGGCACTGAAGAAGCAGGAGGAGAGACGAGCTGTATGGGTTGGCCTGGGACTGGTGCAGCTCTGCTCTCCTTCATGGCAGCTCGGGATGCTGAGCGTGTCTTCAGGATGAGGGTCAGTGAGCCAGCAAAGAGGATATCATATGGAAAGAGGTTAAAAGATTTTGTGTCCTACCAAAGAGGACACACATCACCGCACTTCAGCTCCTGGCAGAGCCGGGAGCCGATTAGGGACAGGGCTCCACTTGAGACAAACCAACAGAGCTCATTTGATTAAGTTGATTAACGCCAAGGAGGGTTTACCCCTTCCACTCCCTTCTCACCCCTGGATCTTGCTCTGACACACAAAATCCCCTTGATCACCCTTGCATTAGGGCAAAAGGACTCTGGGCAGCTCGGTGGGGTTCCTGCGGGCAGACACCAGAGCCTCTGAGCCCAGAACTGGTCCCTGCATTTAGCTGCCATTTCTGCAAGTCACTGCACTCAAAGCTTTGCTAATTTATTAGAGGGTTGTTGCTTGTTGTTTGTGTACCGAGCCATCTAGAAAACAGCTTCTGCAGAAGAGGGTAATTGCAGTCAGATAAGCTCTTCAGAGCTGGGATTGCAAAAATACGATACATTGTACACTGGCAGTTGTCTGGATAAACTAGACTCTGGCTGAGTTCTTGGGTAGGAGCATGTTTCCCCATCTGTCAGACTCCCTGTCCACCTTTGGGCAAATCACTTCATGTGTCCCAATTCCCTGCATGGAAAAGAAGTGATAAAAATGGTTCACTCTGACACAGGGTTACAGGTGCTACAGGGGCAGGTACTGGCAGCCTTGCTAGCAGAGCTGAGGGGTGACACTGTTCACCCATGGGATTTCTTCCTAAATTGCCCATCTCATTTAGGCAGCATGTAGTGCAATCAGGGTCTTACTCTCCCAGGCTGGATACTCCTGCTTCATAGTCCCATGATGAAGTTACAAATCTGTGGCCAGCCTGTTGCTCCTGAGATGACAAACAGTGCTGTAAAGGTTGGGTTGTGGCAATGGGAGTAGGCAGAGCAGGATGGGAGCCCCAGCCTAAACTCTACCTAAGCATCAAGACTGAAGGCAATGCAAGCACCTGGGAAGAATTCAGGGCATGCCGTGTTTTCTATGGGCTTGGTGCTGCCAAAAGGCACCAGGTTGCCAACAGCTGAGATCCAATGCTCAGCACCACTGGAGAGGCAGCAAGATTGCGTTTGCTGCTTCATGACTTCACTCCATCTTTCCCTGTCCCATGGGGACCCACATTAGGTGTCAGCAAGGAGCAGCTTGTCTGCACCGTGCTCAGCTCTGCGGTGCTGGGCCAGCAGCACACACACACACTGGTCGTGCACACTG